GTAAGAAAATTAACAAAGGCCAATAACTCAAAAAAATAAGAAATGCAGAGTACAAGTTCTTGTGCACTGCACTTCTTCTAAATGAGATCTATCATCCTATGAAGTTTCGTGTCCAAAGCTTTTATACTTTAGGAGAAATGGCCCGGACAAAAATAAAGTATGAAAATTAACAAAGGGCAATAACTCAAGAATTAAGAAGTGCAGAGTACCGGCTCTTGTGCACTGCACTTCAAGTCATTATAAGAAGCATGCATTCCAAGTTTGATTAATGAAGTCAATCCGACTTATAATGACTGACTTATGCTCCGGACAAGCTTAAGGGGACGCCGACACCGACGCAGACGCCGACAACGACACCGCGGACAAAAGTAACCCCTATATTTCGCCTTTTTCAAGGTCACATAAAAAGCATTATTTGTAAAGATATTGTCGAATTTAACATTTCATGTAAATAAAGGGAGGTAATAAGAAATTTATTTGCAGTAACTGATTAACTGATATTAAATTATTTAAAAAGTTAACCCACTCACTGCAATAAGGTAACAATATTATGACAACCCACTTTTGTCACAGAAAAAAACTAATTTGTCATATCATCTTAATTAAATATACTTATGATGACGAAAACATTGTTTGTCTTTTTTCTGGAACACTTCTTTATCAACTCAAATTCATTTCATTAATTTAAGTGGTTGAAAAATTAAAAGATTTTTATTTATTTATTTATTTTTTTTTTTGTTGTCAAGCCTTAGACATGATCATATCATGTAATAGAAAGAGCACCGAAACACGAGGCTATCTGATTTGTACGAGGGGGCGTAGCCCCCGAGTATTAATCAGATTGCCGAGTGTTTTGGTGTTCTTTCTCTTTTGTATCATAGTCAAACATAAAAGCATGTTCCCTGTTGTCACAATATGAAACCCCGGCAAAAATGAACCAATGAACGAACATCTGAATATGACATTTCTGTCCCTTTGCCTTTCTGAGACTGCCGTCACAATATGTTAACACCAGCAAAAATGAGCCAATCAATGGGCATGCTCTGGAGTGCGGGTAACTAATACCCGCACTCCAGTTAACGCACGGTGCATGTATATGTATACGATTTAACCCTGACACATTTTCAACAGAAAGGTCTCCAAACTATGATACAAGATTCTTTTATGTCCTGAAACTGGAACATACATATTCATTTAAGAAAATTCTCCATTTTCTTTAAAAAAAAACAAAAAAAAACGTCATCATCAGGGGGCAACAATCCCATGACAGTTAATTGAGAATTAAAAAAGAATATGTTAGTTAGCAATTACAAAATTTGAACATTATTCACATTCTACAATATCAATTTTAATATTTGACTTTTTTTTAAATTTTGCAAAAATTCAATTTCTCAACATTTTTACAATTTGTTTCACAAGCTGCAGACTAAGTATCTTTTTAGAAAAATTAACAGTTTTCTGAACAAGTTTTAGAAATAAAGAATTCGATATTGATCAATTCCACTGACAAAATGCACTAGCTCTGGGGGATGAATTTTCATGGTTCATAAAAAAGTATGGGTAAATTAAGCATGAATTTGTGGTAAACAAAGAATTATTTCTAATATTTCTTTTATTAGTTAGTACAAGAGGAATGAGCTACTGAATTATTTATACAGTTTTACATGGAAACATATTAGTCAGGGGAATTTTCTAACTGTACTTGAGATAAACAATATCTTAATTGTGCTTGTCAGGCCTCCCCGTATAATATACATGTTTAATATAATTAAATATAAGATGCAAATTTCACTTGTACTGCTGGTTTTAATTATACATGTACATGTTTTATGGTTTAAACATATTTATTTAAGCTCGATTGCGAAAGAAGTTCTCACAACTATTTATCACTTTCGAGTCCTCTTTCTGGACCCACCCTGAGTACTCAGGTGTCATATGAAGTAACATGCATGGTGCTGACCCGAGAAGGGCTCGAACCCATGATCTCTGGGTTGACACCTTAACAACTAGGCCACCGCTCCCTGGTTTTACATCTTTTATAGTCAGAAGGAAAGTCAGGAATCTTATAAAAACCCATGAGCAATAAAATGAAGATGGCAATATACTGAAGCACGGTAGAACAGGGTGGCAGCAAACTGTCCTGTAAGCTCAATAGGTAGAGTGTTGGACTGTGAATCAGGCAATCCAGGCTCGATTCCTGGACAGTGCAGGTCATTTTCATTGTGATTAATCATGAAATCCTTTCTACGATCATTCACACTGTACCTCTTTGTACAGAAGTTAATTGAGTTCCTTGAGAAAGGTAAAGCAACTAGTATAAGTTAAGTGCTTGACAGCCTGCCCAGGAACAATGTCGTGGCTGAACTGTACTAGATGGAAAATTCAATGTGGCTTACTGCCGTGACCTGCAGCGAAAACTACCAACATGGCACCACCAGGGTGGCTGCTTTTTAGTGTCAAGGGAGATATTTTACTCTAAAGGCTGAAAATTAATATAACCAATCTTTAATGCATTTCAACCAATGATATGGATCGCCAAACTGTTAATAATGAAAACCCTGCTTATATACATTATTATTAGTAAGACAAACAAAATCTTAAAAAAAAATACTTCGACCAAGAGATAGTCTGGCATTTCTAATTTTCTTACTTGTGCCTATAAAATTTGTTACAGATTTTATGTTCATACATATGAATAAACCTTTAAAGCCATGTATATTATTTAAGATTTTCAAATTTTCAAAACTGCCACAAAAATTAATATATTCTTAATTCAAGCCTCACAGATAAGGGACTTAAAAAAATTCCCCAAGATTATCTTAATTTGAAAAGGCCCTTTCCCACCTTGGAATTATTAATGATTATTTCAAACACATATATACATTGTGATTATTTCAAACATATATAAATTGTATATAGCATAATTTTATATACATTGTGTATGTTACATAAATGTAGACAAGTTGAAAGGGACTAGTTATTATCACCAGTAGACAATTAAAACTGTCAGAAAACACTCCTATAGCTATGTTACATTAATTAACCGAGTTCATATCCATTCATCATTCTACATAATCAATACTGAATGAAGCATCAATGCACCAGTCTGTTCATAAATAACAACAAAAAAATGAAACCCTCCCGTCCAATAACTTCTCCCTTATTGTGACACATAATAAATTCTCCCTTATTATGACTGAATATAATGACAGATCCCTAGACACACTCCCACACAAGATAGTTTTTGGTGATAATAATTACAGCAATCTGCGTCTAAAATATTTTGAATCCTGAATCTAATGAATTTGTAAAATGGACTAATCCTGCTTTGACTTTGGAACAGTCAATTTTAAATTTAGGGGATTTTCACTAACATTTAACACAAAATCGAGCCATCAACAGTTTATATAGCCCATCTAAATGTCATACTGCACAGATGTAATGATGGACTGCCTTTATTTATAATACTTAGTGACAATTTTTTAGGCTAAAACACTTTCGATTCAAGCACGGTATGGATCAAATTAAAAAACATATTTTAAGGTATCACATAATAATCACATTAGAGCTCCAATTTAAGTACTTTTAGTTCTTAGATATGAAAACACTTTTTTCATTCTCTTTTTTTTTTACTTTTAATGAAATAGGACTTTTCAAAGAACAATTAGTCAAAGCCCATTCAGAAAAACTCAGTGTCTGAAAAAATTTGAAATTTGGAATCATTCCAAAGACATACATGGCTGTCTGTTACAATTGAAGTACAGTCTAGAAATTCTGACAAATTGTCACCATAAATTCCTGGCAGAAAAGTTAATAAATCTAAGATAGGCCCAATTTTTTTTAGACTTTATTATACTGAACCCCTCACAGCTAGAAAAATAAATAACTAGGCTTTGCCATAGGTATATACATGTAGTGTAAGGCCAGCCTGCCCTACTGAAGCCCACACCGTTTAAACTGATCGACCAACTTCAAATTTTCATCTTTCAAAATTGATAATGAATATTGCTGAAAATGAAAGCCTTAAGGACTCAGGCCATGTAAGAAACTCTGAGCAAGTCATTAAATTATTATCTTATTTTCCCGCTTTATACTTTAAAGACACTAACATTGGGACAGTTCTAAAATTGAAACTTAATTGACAAGTCTGTTTACGAAATAAAGCAGGCTACAGGTTAAGACAGAATTTTTATATAACGGTATTTGGTTGTAATATGTTACAAATGTAAATGTATAACTAAATATCTTAACCTTTTGTGAATTCACAAACTATTGTGACGCTGTGCTTTTTGAGGCATTTCTTTTTATCAATTATTCTAATTATCATGTATTCTTGTAATAAAATTTATTCGAGAAATCAAATGTTTGCTGCAAAAATGAAAAAAAAATAAATGCATGTATGATGGAAAAAATTCTGAATATATGCATAATATTATATAAATATAATGAAAGCTTTGGTTTTTTTCTAATACACTTCAAAAGCTTTTATATTTTCCCCTAGGTGCTTATAGCTATAACCCACAACAAAGACTGCTTCTCCAAAATTTTAGCGAATGGGAAATCAATGAAATCCTTTAGTAAAAGATTAAATTACATGTTTCTGGGGAAAAAATCACAAAAAAAAAATCCACAGGCAGATAACAAAATAAAGCAAAGAAATGCAATAAATCATGCAAAATTAAAAAGGCAAGAATGCCTCTGGCAGTGTAACCCGTAATTATATTAAAAGAATTTTCTACTTAGCAACCCAAATACGAGACAATCTATCAAAGTTAAGTGTATCTTCATCTGAGATAGTTTCCTATTTTCCGAGGACAATTTTCCCTTCGTTTCTAATATTCATAATTACATAATAAATAACAAATTCAGAAATGCCTAATGTCCCGGCTTAATGCACTATAACTTGACAGCCACTCGTATATTATACACCATGTGTGTAAATTTCATAACCCACAGATATTATTAACAATAATGGAATTAATAATCCAATTGACACATACCTTGTGAGGTTTCCCCAGACTTTGTCGGAATTTTCATCCTGCCCTTATCGTTAACTCCATCAATAGAGTTTGGGCACCTTCGTCCCCCTAGATTTTGTTGGTATTTACTCCGTGTATGTACATAATCTGGATTAGCGGAATAAAAAGTCTCTCCATTATCTTGATTAGAATTGGCTACTAAGGACGGTGTCCGTAAGTATGCCTCATGTTTTTGAGCACATCTGTTTTTCGCGAGCGGATCAATAACATTATTGGGTTCTAAGCTAGCACTCGATGCAATATCCACATTTCTGTTGTAAATTTGACGGAGCTTGTTATCTTTATGCGGAAATCCAGATTCGTTAAATTGTCCACTGTATTGATTACTTCCTCTGCCATCCAGATCAGATTTCAAATTACTTTTTCTCCCCTTTTTCTCTTGTTTTTCATATCTATAAACGTCAAATATCTTGGCTTGAAACGCCAATGAATCTGTGTTATACTCTGGCAAATCTCTCGTTTTCTCAATTGATGTACTACTTACAAGGCTTTTTCTTTTGTTTTCTTTGCCCTTAGGCCGTTCGATGCTTACGCTCAGCATGTCAACGTGACCAACATTAGGTTTTGGATTCTTTGGGGGCTGACAAAATATTTTAAGCTGTGCTGAAGTAAGGAAATCAGCCTTTTTCTTATCACTGCCAAGGCCATGCTTTGTATCTTTTCTGAACTTTTTCACTTCAATATAATCAGACTTTCTTCCAAGCCGACCTTCCATAAAACCTTCATCAAATTGAGGCAGGCTTTGATTTCTTTCATTTCTCTCTTGCACAAGCTCAAGGCTTTCCCTTCGGCTCACTTGCCTCCTTTCATAAAGGTCATCATGTCTACTGAGTGTTCCTTTTTCAATCACATTTTTTCTTCGATATTTAGAATCCTCTGGAAAATCTTGATACATTTTCTCAGAGCTACCACTTTCACTTCTCTCATAGTTATCTCGTCGTTTATAAATATGGGACTTATCCTGACTACCATGCCTTGAAAGTCCTTCACCTTTTCTAAGAAGCTCTTCACCACTGCTATGTCTACTTCTAGCATACGATTCACCTGGGCTGCTATACTTTCTCTCATCATAAAAGCCTTCTCTACTGCTCTGTCTGCTAACACTTCTAGTCATTTCACCTTCTCTGCCTTTGAAACTGTCACGTCTCACTGCAGTAACATGTTCATGACTAGACTGCCTTTGAGCATGACTACCACCATGTCTGTTATAATCTACTAATCCCCTACCTCTGTCGTACAATCCTTCAACACTATTCTGCCTGCTCCTTGCATATATCTCTTCTTGACTCATTCGCCTGCTTCTATATCCCCCTTCCTGACTACTTCGTCTACTCATCTGGTGCAAACTGTCTTGACTACTATGTCTGCTTCTGTGTACAAATTCTTGGCTGTTACGTCTACTGCCCTGGTACAATCTGTCTTGACTGCCATGAGTAGTTCTGCTATATGCTCTTTCTTGACTGTTTCGCCTTTCTAACTCCTTTATGTCCTTATCATGTTGTCTCCTCTGTTCATTGTACTTAGCCTGAATTTTTTGCTGTATTTCATGCTGGTCTCCAGGCATACCTTCATTTATAAACCTCTCAGTTTCTTTCTTAATTGACGAATCTCTCTCTGTCTTTATCCATTTTTCAAGTTTCTCCTTTACAATATTGGGATCAACAGGCTCATCACCTTCAGCATCTTCAAGGTCAATATCAACTGTTGACAGACCAGGCATCTCTGTAATATTGAGAACTTCAATATTTTGTCTGCTATTTGGTTGTGATGTACACTCTTCATCAACATCATCTTCATATCTGTTAACAATCCATTCTTTTTCATATAATTCTGGATGGTACTGACCTTCATCATCAATGCCTTCAGAGCTTTCTGAACCTTTATCCCTGGAGTTCACAGTATCCCCTTGAATGACCTTTTTAACAGATATTTTCTTCTTCTTTTCTGGTGCAAGATCTTGTGCTTTTTTATTGTTCTCTGGCAGCTCTTCTTTGTCTGATGTTTTGTTACTTTCTTCCCTATCAGTCTCAGTCTCTATCTTATCTATAATCTTTTCAATTTCTTTCAAACTGAATTCTTCTTTATCAACTGGTTCATTAATATCTGCACTAAAGTCAATCATCCTGGTATAAAGTTCAGGATGGTACTGACCAGAGTCATCAATGTCATCATCACTTTCATCAGATGAATCTACATGTTCACCTTTGACTTTCTGTTTGGAGATTTTGGTACTTTTCTTCTGTTGATAATGTATTGTCTTATTATAACTCTTACCAACTTTATTTTCTGACCTACTTGATTCCTTGGAAGATGGTGGCTCTTTGGAAACTTTGTCCTTATCAGTAGGACACTCTACAGCTGCTGTGTTAACTATCTCAACATTTGTCAATGTATACACATCTTCAAAGACCTTAGTGTCATCATTTGATTCTTGTTCAAGAGTTCTATCAAATTTTTTTCTCATCCTGCCTTCATTTTTATCAAAATCATAATTGATATCATCTAATTCATGTTCAACTACACAAATGACTTGATTAATGTCAATATCATCAAGACATTTTATATCTTCCACATCATCAACAGCTAATTTATTATTTTGATCAATGGTACCTTCATATTCAGTATTATTTTCTTTTTCATCATCAATTGTTTTACTGTTATTCTGCTCTTTCTCAATTATATCTCTTAAGGGATTTTTTTGTAGTCCAAAGCCTTCTTCTTCACCATCTACTATTGTATCACCACAGTGTTCCATGTTGTCTTTACTTTCAATTTTTTCTTGCATGTTGTTTTCCTTTTCATCAAATATTATACCATTATTTTGTTCTGTCTCAATTTTATCATTGCTGTCAACATTTTCTAATTTAGTGCTTACTTCTTCACCATCTTCAAATGTGTCAATTTGTTTGTCTTCAATAGTATTTAGTCTGTTGCTTTTAACTTCATTATCAGTCTCCAGTTTATCACACTTCCCATTTTCTAGCCTGGTGCTTTCTTTCTCATAAACAACACTTTTGTCATCAGGTCGGTCAAGATTATCTTCGATATCATCTATTATGTTGCTTTGCTTTTCATCATTTACTGATAAATCAGTTTTCTTAGGCTGAAGTGTACTATAGTTGCACTCATTTTCAATCACTTTTCGTTCTATACTATCATTATTCATACTGCTATCATTTGGTTCAACAGCTGTGTTGTTATCATAATTTTCATGCATGTCATTTACTTTTTCAAAATCCTCTGTCATCACTATTTCTTTTTCAGTTGCTGACATGATGCTGTCTTTTTCATCTTCAACTGATAGGTCTTCATTTGAAGTTGGTTCAAGCATTTTATTGGCACAAATATTTTCATTTTCATATTTTCCTTTTACATCATTAACTGTGATGTCCTGACAAGTATCAATATCATGTGTGTTTTCAGAATTTTCTTGCACCCTGTTTCCTATTTGATCATTATTTGCTATGCTATCATTTCGTTCTTTCATATCACAGGTGTCAATATTTCCTTGAATATTGTCCATAGTTTCATCAACTGACATGACTTCACCACACTGTTTTGCCAAAAGCACACTGTTTTTGTCTGAATCGTCGTCAATGATGCTTACTTTGTCAATATTGACTTCATTGAGATTGCCTACTTGCTCATAATTTATATCATTAATGTCTATATCATAATTTTTCAGCTCAGAAACATTAATGTTGTCAGCATAGTCTTGATTGATGCCTTCCGTGTCATCAATATCGTATCTGCTATCATTGACAATTTCAATTCCATCATTAACAACATCATGTTTCAGATCTTTGTTACCAATGTTGTAAACATTTTCTAGAACATTTTCTTTGTCATTACTTATGCTTTTTTCATCGCATTCTGACTCAAGTATACAGTCAATGTCAGTATTTTTCTGAAAATTACTTTTTTTGTCAGCATTATCATTCATGCTTTTGTATTGTTCGAATTCACCAAAGTTGACTTTATTTTCAAAACCCGAATCTTTGTTTTCATGATCCAGTTTTATGACCTGAGGTTCAGAGAGTACTAAACAAGTGTTGCCTTCGTTTTCTTGAGAGGTATATTTAATATCATTGTCATTTTGTATGTTATAATCATCTATCTCACGAATACCAGTCTGGTAATTATTTTCCTGAATGTTGCTTTCCTTTTCATCGCCACAGTTGATTCCATCACGGTTCAGTTCAGGCATACACCTTTTGTTACCATTATCAAATACATGTATATTTGTTTCATTTTCATCATCAAAATGAATGTCATCTTTCTCAAGCTGACAGGTTATTGAATTTATTCTCCTGCTGCTTTTGTTGTCATCATTATGGTTTTCATCACCATGTCCAAGTTCCGTATTAATGTTAATATCATTTTCTATACTGACAATTACACCTGGCTCGGGCTTAATGTTATTGTCGTCATCCTCTACACCAATACACTCATTTTTATCATCCACTTCAATATCATCCTGTTCTGTGTTAAAGATATTTACTAGACTGGTGCTTTCTTTTTCATCATCAATTTTTATACCACTGTAATCTTGAACAATGTCATTGTCATTAATTGCTTTAGAGATACTTTCACTGTTTTCATTACTGTCATGGTACCCTGGCTCATGTATGATGCTGTTGTCATCATTTTCTGTGTTACTGTCTTCTTTTTCATCATCAACACATATGTCATAATGGTCTGGCTCATGTACATGGGTACTGTTACTATTTCCTACACAGCTGTTTTCTGTATCATTATCAATATTAATGATATTCTGTTTTTGTTCCAGGGTAGTGTTTTCTGTATTGTTGCTTCCTATTTCATCACTAACATTTATAACATCTTCTTCTTGTTCTTGATCAGGTATAAAATCATTGTTTTCATTTGCTGTATTTATGCTTTCATTTACATTTTTTATGTCATTCTGTTCCGGCTCAAAGGTTGTGTAATTGTCAATGCTGCTTTCTGTTTTATCATCAAAAGTTATGCAACTAGATTCCTTATCAAGTTTTATATTATTGTCGCCATTTTCTGTACTGATGCTTTCTATTCCATGATCAATATTTATGTCATTTATGTCATTATCTTCTGGCCCAACTATAGCTTCAAGTATAGATTTACTGTTTACATCATTTACACAGATGTTTTCTGTTTCATTACCAATATCAATGTCGTTCAGATCTTGTTCAGGGGTAATGTCATAGTTTATAGTATTGTTGTTTTCTTTATCATCATTAACATTTATAACATTGTTTTCTTGATCAGGTATAGCTTTATTTTTTTCATTTGCTGTATTTTTGCTTTCATTTTCTTCATTAACTTTTATATCAGCCAGTTTCTGCTCAAGGGTAGTGTTATTATCAATGCTGCTTTCTGTTTTATCATCAAAAGTTATCCAACTAGGTTCCTCATCAAGTTTAACACAATTGTCAACATTTTCTATACTGATGCTTTCTTTGTCATCATCAATATTTATGTTATTATGTTCTGATCCAAGTATAGCCTTACTGTCACCAACTTCTAAACAGCTGTTTTCCTTTTCTTTATTAACATTAACATCCTTCTGCTCTTGTTCAAGGGTAGTGTTATTAGAATTATTTTCTGTTTTCTTACTTTCTTTTACATCATTAACATTTATGTTATTGTGTTCTTGATCAAGTATAGTGCAACCATTTTCATTTGTCATATGGTTACTTTGATTTTCCTCATTTACATCATTATGTTCTGGCTCAAGTAAATGGTTATCACCACCACTGTCTTCATCGTTGTTTGCATTTACATCATCAACATTGATTTTATGGCATTTTGACTCAACCATTCTGTTATCGCTATCATTTTCTGCACCGTTGCTCTTCTCTGCATCATCAACGTTACTTTGCTCTGGCACATGGGTATTGTAACTGTGTACACTTTTTACACTGTTGCTTTCTTTTTCATCACCAGTGTTATTATGTTCTCTTTCCAGTATAAAGTTATTGTCACCATATTCAATACTGTTGGTTATCGTTTTATCATCAACATTTATGTTATTTTCTTCCCTCTCCTGTATGGCATTATTGTCACCATTATCGACACTGTGTTTCTCCATTTCATCGTAAACGTCTATGTTACTGTCAGCTGTGTCAAGAGTAGCATTCCTGATTACATTTTCTTTATTTTTGTTAATCTTTACATTAATTTTGTTTTCCTTTTCTTGCTCAAGTACAGCATAAGTTTCACTGTTTGCTATCTTACTATCATTTTCATCAACAAAATTCATGCCATTGTTTATTGGGTCAAATGTAGCATCATTATCACCATTAACAATACTTTTGCATTCCTTTTCCGCTTCAACTTTATTGTCAGTCTGTTCTGAATCAAGTGTTGTAACATTGTGTTCTTGATCAAGTGTTGTGACATTGTGTTCTGAATCAAGTGTTGTAACATTGAGTTCTTGATCAAGTGTTGTGACATTGAGTTCTGGATCAGGTGTTGTGACATTGAGTTCTTGATCAAGTGTTGTGACATTGTGTTCTGGATCAGGTGTTGTTGCATTGTGTTCTGGATCAAGTGTTGTGACATGGTGTCCTGGATCAGGTGTTGCAACATCATGTTTTGGATCAGGTGTTGAGACATTGTGTTCTGGATCAAGTGCCATGACATTGTGTTCTGGATCAAGTGCTGTGACATGGTATTCTAGATCAGGTGTTGTGACACTGTGTTCTGGATCAGATGTTGTGAGATTGTGTTCTGAATCAAGTCTTGTGACACTGTGTTCTGAATCAACTGTTATGACATTGTGTTCTGGATCAATTGTTGTGACACTGTGTTCTTGATCAAATGTTGTGATGTGGTGTTCTTGATCAAGTGTTGTGACATTGTGTTCTGGATTAAGTGCTGTACCATGGTATTCTGGATCAGATGTTGTGACATTGTGTTCTAGATAAAATGTTGTGACACTGTGTTCTGGATCAGGTGTTGTGACATTGTGTTCAGAATCAGGTGTTGATACACTGTGTTCTGGATCAAATGTTGTGACACTGTGTTCTGGGTCAGGTGTTTTGACATTATGTTCTTGATCAAGTGTTGTGACATTGTGTCCTTGATCAAGTATTGCAACATCTTGTTCTGGATCAGGTGCTGTGACATTGTGTTCTAGATCAAGTGCTGTGACATGGTATTCTGGATCATGTGTTGTGACATTGTGTTCTAGATCAAATGTTGTGACACTTTGTTCTGGATCAAGTGTTGTGAGATTGTGTTCTGAATCAAGTCTTTTGACACTGTGTTCTGAATCAACTGTTATGACATTGTGTTCTGGATCAATTGTTGTGACACTGTGTTCTTGATCAAATGTTGTGATGTGGTGTCCTGGATCAGGTGTTGTGACATTGTGTTCTGGATCAAGTGTTGTGACATTGTGTTCTGGATCAGGTGTTCTGATACCGTGTCTTTCTTTTTCATCTCTATCAACATTCATTCCACTGTCTTCTGGCTCAAATTCAATTTTAGCAGTATTGTCACAATTGTATATATAGCGTTGCTTTCTTTTTCATCAATAACATTTTCGCTATTATGATCTGGGTCAAATATAGCATTACTATCACCATTTCTTATAGAGTTGCTTTCTTTTCCATTATCAAGATTAATGTCATTATGTTCTGTTTTTAGATTTGCATAGATGTCACTATTTTCTATGGTGCTGCTGTCTTTTTCATCACTAACATATGTGTCTTTACTTTCTGTTTCAAGTACAGCATTACTGTTATCATTTCCTACAATGTTGCCTGTCTTTTCATCATTAACATTTATTCCCAAATTTGTCTCCAGTAATTTTTTGTTTTCACAGCTGTTTTTCCTTTTCTTTCCTGTATTGTTTCTTTCCTTTACATCATATACATTTATGTCACTATCCTCTTTCTCCATTTTAGCGTCTGTGTTAACATTTTCTATAATTTCGTTTTCTTTTATGTCATCATGTTGTTTTGGCTCGAGTACAGTGTTATTGTCAAAATTTTCTCTGCTGTTGCTTTCTTTTTCCTGGTCATTACTTACTGCCTCAAGTGTTGCATTATTGTCATCATTTTCTACACTCTGGATTTCCTTTCCATCATCACAGTTATCTAACCCAATTAACACAGTGTGACCATCACTATTGTCTTTACTCTTGCTTTCTTTTTTATCATTGGAAATCGTGTCATTGTGTTCCAGTTCTTCAAGTACAGTGTCATTGACAACACTTTCAATAAGTCTATATTTCAACTTATCACATCCTAAATCAAGTATAGTATCATTGTCACCATTGTCACCGCTACTGCATTCTATTATATCAACAGTATGTATGCTATGATGCTCCTTCTCAACTAATGCATTACTGTTACAATCTTCTATACTCACACTTTCTTTTTTACCATCAACATTTATATCATTCCGTTTTTCATTGCAATCACTGTTTTCTGGATAAATTTCCAAACAAGAAGAACCCTCAACAAATGAATGGGATACAAATAACACACCTTCAACAATATGTTTTGCTATTCTTTCAGCAGAGTCACGGGGATGATTTTCAAGTTCTTTGTAGGTCTCTGTTTCCTCACCTTCTGATATTACAATATACCCTGACAAGTTGTCATTTGAAGTATGGTGTTCCATGATCTGGTGATTACTATTTGAATTTTTTACTTGGGACATGGACAATTCAGAATCAATTCCATGTAAAGGCGATCCTAGATCTACTCGTACACTGATTTCTAGATCAACAGAAACACTCATTCTTTCAGGAATTTCCGTTTCTATATCTACATCTGATTCTTTTAACTGTAATGTTTTTGTTTCATTGTGAGACGAATCGGCACTTGCATCATTATATTGGTCAGTCTTTAAATGAAGAGAAGAATCTTCAGTCTTGTTTTCAAAAATCTCTTCCTCATTTAAATCATTTACATATTTCTCCTCAGATTTTTTATCTGTTCCTTTGATGTTGCAAATATCATCATCTACAACTTCTTGATCTTCATCAGAATTTATGTCACTTCCATGGTCAGGTTTCTGGCTCAATTCATGTAACGTTTTATCATCTGACAGTTTCACTTTTACTTCATTCTTGTTCATGGATTCAAAACCAACTATGTGATCAGTTGTTTTCGTATTGGAATCAACCTCAAGCAAGTCCTTCTGTCTTTCGCTAATGTCATAACTTGAATTAGTTTCAATGTTGTTTCCACCATTCACATATTCTATGCTGTCTAGTGAACATTCAATTTTGTCATGAAGTAATGATTTTGTTTTAAAATTAGAATTGTAGTAATTTTTAAGGAACACATCTTCTGCAACAAAGTCAGTTCTTTCATTAATAGCACTATCAGCAGTTGCTGCAACCATTCTTTGAGATGCAAAGAGAACATGCTGGACAATTTCTTTTGCTATCTGTTCGGCTGTGCCGTTGTGAATGTTTTCTATGTATGGATATGTTTGCAGCCCTGATTCTGTCAGCATCATTGCATGTGCGGAAAAGTTGTATTCATTACAAACAGGGAATTCGATTGGTTCTATGTCACTGTTAACAGAAGATGGTGAAGACACAGAGCCATTCTCCATTGGTGGTGTTGCAAGATCAACTCGGACACAAATTTCTAGATCAACAGAAACACTCATACTTTCTGACATTTGACTGTTATTCAGTTCATGTTCTTTCAATTCTGTTTCATTTCTGTTAGCAATCACTGTATCTTTGTTCATGATATCTAAATCAGGATTATAAACGGTGACAGCAGATCTATCTGATTTTAAATCTTCATGTGAAGAACATGGTATTGAGGCAACAACAACGTCGCTTATACTTAATGCTTGATTTTTACATAGATCAATATTTCTATGATCATTCTCCTTTTCTGCAATGTTTGCCTTATCAGCCTGGCCTCTTGTTGCTTCAAGACTAGAATTATCATCTTCTGCAGTGTTTTGTTTATCTGTTTTCATGCTGTAGTGTTGGAAACTATCTCTTCTTGTTAGCACCATAATTTCCTCCTTGCGATCTACCTCTGATTCTGAATCAAAGAGTGAATACAAAGAATAGCTTCCACTCTCTGTAGAACTAGTTATGTAAGTACTTGAGGAATTCAGACTTTGGAGTGACTTTTTGGCATCAGTAATACCTAATGGGCATGCTTCAGATTGAGAATCAAAGTGTTCTGGAACAGCATCCTGTGTACACAAACTAAAACCTTCATCTACTCCTGTCTGGTCCCTTTTCCCTGGGAAATCAGTTGTCACTCTAGCTTCTTCAAGAGAGTATTTGGTCTGGACAATACTGTTATCACCATTCCCTTTCTCTACAGATAATTTCTGGTTTAGATCCAGATTAGAATTCCCATCATCCTCAACATAGATATTTGACTTTGCCTTTGTCCTTTGCAAGGCAAACATAAGCATTTCCTTCCTGGCCTCAGTTTGGCTTTCACTTTCAAATACTTCATCAGATAAACTGTCAACAGTTGCACTGAGTATATCATTTGACATACTGTTAGACTTAGATTCCAAACGTAGTCCATCCTCTGTATTCTTCTGATAATCAGCTGGGGAAGCCAAACTTTGATCATTCGAGCACTTTTGTGCATTATTGTTATTCACAAACAGTGTAGCCAACTGTGATTTCATATCCTTTAGAGCTTCTAACTCTTCACTTCTTCTCCTAGAACTTCTGCAATCCTTTAAATAACTGAAATCGTCTATTGCAATGTCTTCTGTCCTTTCAACAAGAATACCCTCTTCAAACGAGAAGTGCTTCACTTCAATCTCTATAAATCCTGCTCTCCTAAATTTTGCCCCTACATCATTATTCCAACCCATGGAATTTCCACTGTAACAATCATAATTTTTATTATTACAGACATGTTCCCCTTGTTCCAACTTTGGAATAGGTGGATGATGACTCTCTGATGGGTCCGGTGGATTTGGACACACTAAAATAGGTCCGACACCCACAATGCAATAGCTGTCATAGATAGGAAGATCTTCCATCGCAACTTCTATTTCTAATAAATCCATTTTTGGCCTTTCTTTATCGTGTTCCTTTATATATGTATAGTTCAATTGCTTAAGTACATTCTGTTTTACATGTTTTAGATTTTCAAACACATTATGCGTCTGTTCAAAGATGATTTCAGTGTTTTATTACAGAATTGCACGCAAACATGAATAAACAACACGTTTAATATTCTCAATTTCAAACCTTTACTTGAAAAACAATGTGTGTTTTCTATAATAGCGATTCCAATTTCTATTTCCTCTTTTCATAAACAAAAAAGTATACAAAGCCCATGCCTATTATTCAAAGATTGTATGGTTAATGTTTTTAATATTCATTTGCTGACACTGCCATTGTAAATTTAACGTAACATCCCAATATTTTATGTTGTTTAAAATTTCACGCAAAAGGCATCAGCATTAATAACCATGGAAACATTTCAGTATTGGTAATTTAATTAAAGTGAGAAATGAATTCTAGTGTCTAGCCTTTTTTTTGCTTTGAGTTCTTCTCTGGGAAGTTGTGTTACTATATTTACAAAGATCTGTCAATTGGAAATAAACTAATCTACTTTTACTTCAATTAACAGTCATTTTTTTATATTTCCATGAGATGCCACTTTCAGTTAAATATTTTTTTTCTCTGTTTTGATTTATATTCATTGCACTTACTTTTAACTTTTATACAGTATCAGTCTGTATAATGGTAAACTCTTCATTTAAACATTGATGTCACATTAAGCATGTGCATATTTTCATGCCATAATCTGTATCATTGTATACCATCTTTACACAATACAGGCAAATTGTACCAGCAAGTGACATGATCTTTCCACTTCTTAACCAAAATATCTTTTGAAAAAGTGTTTCCCTTGCATAAGATACTCATAAAAGAGTTGGTACATTGTTAACTGCTCAAGACTTAAAAGTTTAATCATTGCCCCTTTTAGTAAAACATATTACATTATTTGACTCCTTCCCATGTCACATTATTTCATATGTCACATTATTTGAATCCCTGTATATCATATTATTTGAGACTTTTATATGTCACAGTATTTGACTCCCTGTAAGTCATAATTATTATTTGACACTTTTATATGTCACATTATTTGACTCCTTGAATGTCACATTTACTGCCTTTTACATATGTCACATTATTTAACCCCATTATATGTCACTATTTAACTCTATTATATGTCAGATTTACTGACTTTTCTGTATGTCACATTATTTCATTCCATTATATGTCACATTAGTTGACTTCTCTTCATGTCAAACTATTTGACATATATGTCACATTCATAGACTTACCTCACTGTGACTTATGTAACATATGTCACTGACTATTTTACATATTTGACTGTTATATTCATTGAATTTTCTATATGTCACAATCTATGTGTCACATTTACTTTCTTCTTAAATATATGTCACAAAAATGACTGCACTTCA